ATTATTGAACAATTTTGAAGTCTAGATGTTTGTGCTTGTAGGTAGAGCCTGATAGTAGTAAGATAGGCTACATTTGACATTATATTCACCAGTGAAAACAACTTTGTTGTGCCAAGCTTAAACCACACAGGCCCTTGAATCTTGGAGCCTGCTTTGGACTTGCTGCTTTGTGTAAACCTTAATATATTTTTCACATAGCCTCTTAGCCTCTGATAACTATTGATAATGTATAAAAGATGTGGCTTTCAGGGGACTTTTTAATCGAGGAAGGTATCTGTTCTGTTTCTCTGTGCTTTCTGCTATTCAATGTGAAGTCAGGAACAAGAGTAGGACTGGCGAGAAAACTTCATTTAAGTGGAAAAATGAGTTCCTTTGCAGTAACCTTCAGTTATAGTTAGGGAACAAGATGATGCTGGGAATTTGTTTTTCTGGCTCATTCCATTCTCTAAAGGTTTGCAAAGTTACATTTCTCATAGATTATCAGCCATCAGGAAGGCTGCAGCCACAGGCTGGGTCATGGCTATGCTACCCTTCCTGTATTTCTAAAATGGCAGGAAATTTATGGAGTTCCAGTATAGAAGAGTCCCCATTAAAGCTCCCATTATGAAAAGTTCAGAAGCAGTCTGTGTTCAGCAGATTTTGATCAATGTGTTGGTTTAGCTAAAAGAAACACCTTAAGGCAAAGGGAAAGAACATTTCATAAAGGAGAATTTTATTAGTTTTTCTGGAAGAAATGCCTAACACTTATTTGTAAAAGTTTATCTTCAAATTTGGGTACAGTAACAGCTTTGGAGTAGCTAAATAAGAATTTTATTTTGTATTCTAATTGAAAATATCAGTGAGGCCTCAATTATAGAGTTATTCTCATGTTTTTGTAATGCAGTGGCATTCAGCATTTATATTGAGTAAATACAGAAAGTTAATAAGCTACCTATTTGTGCACCAGTAGTCAAAATTATTGTGGGCTTCAAACTACAAGGAAAAATTCTTAGATAGGTGTCATGGTTTAAGCCCAGCTGGTAACAAAGCACCATAAAGCCGCTCACTCACTCCTCCCCGGTGGCCTTGGTGGGATGAGGAGAAAATAGAAAGAAAAACTCGTGGGTCAAGACAAGGACAGGGAGGGGTCACCCACTAGTTATGGTCACAGGCAAGACAGACTCAACTTGGGAGAAAAAAACAAAATCAATTTAATTTACTACCAATCAAATCAAAACAAGGATAATGAGAAGTAAAACCAAGCCTTAGAACACTTTCCCCCACTCCTCCCTCCTTCCTGGCTCAACTCCACTCCCAATTTTCTCTGCCTCCTCCCCCCAACAGTGCAGGGGGACAGGGAATGGGGGTTGGGGTCAGTTCATCACACGTTGTCTCTGCTGCTCCTTCTTTCTCAGGGAGAGGACTTCTCACTCTTCCCCTGCTCCAGTGTGGTCCCTCCCACAGGAGACAGTTCTCCACAAACTTCTCCAATGTGAGTCCTTCCCACAGGTTGCAGTTCTTCACGAACTGCTCCAGCATGGGTCCTTTCCATGGGCTGCAGTCCTTCAGGCACAGACTGCTCCAGCGCAGGCTTTCCCATGGAGTCACAGCCATCTTGGGGGGCTGTCACAACCCAGACTGGACAGACCAGGGAGTCGTGTTTAATTCAAAATTCCCTCGGCCTAAATTAAGGTGAAATGACACCAAACAATCAGTTAAAGATTTTATTCATGACAGAAGCAAACTGAACTGGGAAGGCATGGGTAGGTGGTAGGGTTTCTCACAACAGGAATTGGCATAAAGCTAGTTCTGTAAACTGTGTAACCCAGGGTAACCATATACATCAATTCAGGGAATAAGGAGATCCCTCCCATTGAGTCACGCAGTTCAGAGCAGACCCCCTTGCTTTCCAGACCCCTACTCAGAGAAGGGCCCAGGGACGGCTGGATCCAAACGGTTTATGTCTTGAAACAGATGAGGTGTAGGGATTGTGGAAAAGGAGAGAAGAAGACAGAGAGAGAAAAAGGAAGAGAGAAAGATTTCACCAGTCCTGGGTCCAGCGTTGGTTCAGTCAGCCAAGGGGTCCAGTTCCAGTGGGCTTGCGCACCCGGGGCTTCAGCTTGTGTCCTTTTATCATCCTTCCCCCTCCTTCGGGCGGGCGTCCGAACTCGTCAGGCTAATGAGCAGTTTGTGAGCCTTTTGGCTTGGGGGTCATTTGTGGAGCAACTTCTCATTCCCTGCAGATGTGGCCATTGCTTGATCTTTGTATCAGAACAGGGAGCTGCGCACCCCCCAGCATGCCCTCCCCCTCCTGTTGCTGATGCCTGAGCTGATGGGCTTTTCACCTTGGTTCCTTGCTGTGCAGGGTTTGTCTTTAAGCAGAACTTGCCCCACCACAACGTTTGAGACATTAACTCTTTCAGTCTCTCACAGGGACATGCCCCTGCTCCGATGTGGGCTCCTCCCCAGGCTGCAGGTGGGCATCTCTTCCCCCGCTGCCCTCCATAGGCTGCGGGGACACAGCCTGACGTCTCACCACGGGCTGCGGGGGCATCCCCTCCTCCCCCGCTCCTCCTCCCCCTCCTTCTTCACTGACCTCGGTACCTGCAGAGGGGTTTCTCTCACATCCCACTCCCCTCTCTGCTGCAGGTTCCCCTTCTTAAATCTGTTCTCCCAGAGGCGCTACCACCGTCGCTGATGGGCTCGGCCTTGGCCAGAGGCGGGTCCGACTTTGTGCCAGGGAAGCTTCTAGCAGCTTCTCACAGGAGCCACCCCTGCAGCCCCTCTCCTGCTACCAAAACCCCACCACACAGACCAAAACAATAGGAGTGAAAGGGGGGTGAAACTGTTTATACTGGTACTTTAAAGAGTAAGACAACATTTTAAAAAAACAGATTACATTTCCTACTAATTGATGTTCTTATTCTTTTATTCTTCAAACTTATAAAAGCCTTGCTCTGTAGATAGTCCTTTTAGAGTTTGCTTGTATTTTCATGTACTCAATTTAGTTCTGCTTGTACTTTTTACAGACCTTTCTGTAATTGCACTTATGCTAAACTGATAGGCATTTTGATGAAATTTTTCAGGTGACAACTTACTGCAACCTTAGGAACTGTGAGTTTATAGGTGTTCTTTCTTTTTGTTTGGTTTTGTTCTCCCTGATGCTTGGAAGAAGTAAAGCAAATAATCCTGGTTAGTAATCTGAATCAAATTGCCTTTAATCATCTGTTATTTGTAAATTTATGTGTCTGTGTGTGGTGTCCTTTAAGGCAACTTGCTATATTATTGACTGATGTATTATCTAGTGCAGTTAACACTTCACAGAGGTGGGCCTGCTACTGTAGCTGCTGCAAAGTTCTTCCATCCACCCATGGCTCCTTCCACTTACTTAAGCTGGTAGATCCCTGCCTGCCTTCTCCACCTTGCTCTCTCCACCTCTTCTGCTGAGCAATGCAGCTGTTCGTGTCCTCATAGTGATCTGGATCACTGATCTTTATTTTTCAGCTGTATAATTTCCCTGATCAGGTGTGCCTCATGGCTGCACAAACAAAATTTTCCAGAACAGAAAGGACAGAAATATTTGGAGGGGTGTATGACCAAATCCTCAGGCTCCTCTCGCTGGAGATGTAGAACTACTGTTGTGAAAACTCCAGGATTTTAAGAAGGATGTTAAGGTCCTTGAATGCGTCCGGGGGAGGGCAACAAAGCTGGTGAAGGGGCTGGAAGGCATGTCCTGTGAGGAGTGGCTGAGGACTCTGGGTTTGTCTAGTTTGGAGAAAAGGAGGCTAAGAATGACCTCATTGCTCTCTACAGCTTCCTGAGGAGGGCAAGTGGGGAGGGAGGTGCTGATCTCTTCTCCCTGGGATCCCCTGATAGGATGCGTGGGAATGGTTCAAAGCTGCGCAAGGAAGGGGAGGTTCAGACTGGACATTAGGAAGCATTTCTTTACCAAGAGGGTGGTCAAACACTGGAACAGGCTTCCTGGAGAGGTGGTGGATGCCCCAGGCCTGTCAGTGTTTAAGAGGTATTTGGACAATGCCCTTAATAACATGCTGTAACTTCTGGTCAGCCCTGAAGTGGTCCGGAGTTGGACTAGATGATCATTGTAGGTCCCTTCCAACTGAAATATTCCATTCCATTCCATCCCATTCTTCTTTCTCTTCCACTCTGAACATGCATGCAGTTTTCCTGAGGGCATGTTTCTTCACCTTTTGTAGCAGCATCATTATGGATCTGAAGCTTTGGAACGGAGGAGAGGAATGGGTAGTTTGACAGGAAAACTTCTATAGTAGCAGTGCTATTATGCCATGCCTTGCCTTCCTTTCATTTCTATTGTTGCTTTCTCCTGTCCGGAAGAAGTTCACCATAGTGCCAGAGTTGATAAGCTGGCTGAGTTTATTAACCAGTGTTTAGGGCAGTGTCTCAGTTTTAATGGTGAGGTATGCCTTACTGACTGGAAAATGTTCTAAGGTTTAAAACTAAATTTAAGAATAGACAAAGGGAAGCTACCTGTGAAAAGGAAGAGATCAGTGATTTTTTTTTTTTTTTTTTAACCAATTTTACAGAAAAACAGAGGAAGATACATGAAGTGTGAAGAATTGGGGAAGCGGGATATCCAGTGATCCCAAAATGTGAATTTTAGTTCATGGAAAATAATGAAAGATATAAGAATGGAGAGTACAGTATTAAGTATGTGTTCAATAAGATGGGAAGTCAAAGAATACAAGACCTGTAGAAATCTAGAAAAGAAATGGCTTTGAATATAGCCTAGAAATATGTAATAGAAGAGTTGTCATTAGAAGGGTAGTAGTAGCTGCTGAGGTGATTTTGGTTTGGTTTACATATAGCGGATTGAAGGGAACTAACAGCAATTGGTAAAAACCAAGCATTACAAATCACATTAGATCATTCACTTTGTGGAACTTGATCATATATTAAAATGTATAGATTCTATACTTTGTTCTGTATGTGCTTTAGTGTGTTTTGTTTCATAATTCTACTTTATTTTTATTAATTTTTAGGGGGAAAGGAACAATGGCTTTGATGTCCTCTATCACAACATGAAACATGGACATTTGTCCACAAAAGACTTAGCAGACTTTATAAGAGAAAGGTAAGTATTCATCCTTGGTGATCGTCGCTCTTTAATGTACTGTTTGTGGTTTTTATTTAAGTTTATCATTATGTTTAATAGTAACATGCAAAATATGTAAAAATCAATGAGCATTTAAAAATATCTCTTTTATCTTACAAGAATATCTATGTTTATTCTATTGACTCAGAACTGAAAACTTACTCTTAAGCTTCAATTAATAAAAAGTTTCTAATTTGTCACATTTCAATTAAAAAACAATAGTAAAAAGCTAGAGGTGTCACATTAGGTGTGACAGTTTATTTAAATTAATCCCAATTTTTCATCATGTTTGGAAGAAAAGCAATAATTTAAAGTAGCAAAAATTATCAGTCTTACAAAGCTTTTGACCATGGATGTCGAATTAGGGTATTAGCAAATGCTAGTATGATCTTAAAAAAATTATACTTTCATGTTAAGATGTTGAAAAACTAGTTTTGTTAAAGAAAAGGGAGTGATATGTAGGGACAAAAAATAATATGCAGAAAATAACACAGGTTCTTCTCTATGGGATGGAAGGGACAGAACTGAAATCTGCAGATATGACAACTTCCAAAACAGATGACCTAGTGCTATTTGTATTTTTTCTTTGTGAAAGAAGACTGCTGCTGCTACACTAAACATAAGAATTTCCATTCTGGATAAAATTAATTGTATGTCTGCTTCAGAATTTTGTCTTAATTCAGTTACTGGCACCAGATGACGCATGGAAAAAACTTGCAAGAGACTGATTGAGGACCTGTTTCAGCGACGGTTTCTTGCAGTAAAAGCTGTCCAAAAAAACGGATTTTGTTTTCTGGAATTTTTCATCAAAATTTCAGTTTTGGCCTTAAATAGATCTCAACAAAGAATTTCTTTTCAATTTCCACAAAACATAACCGCCACAAACCTAGCAGGTATTCAGTTGCGCTGACATTTGCATAGTTTCGAAATAAATTGGAGAAAATGACAAAAATCTTTCCACTAAGTAGAAATGGGTGAGTTCCAGAGTACACATATGATGGGCAGTCTCCTGTTGGAAGGACTACACAACCCAAGGAATCTTGTGTTTCAAGAATCCCTGATTCCAGAGAACACATTATGAAACCAGACAGGGTTCCAGTGAAATCCTGCATTGGATTGAGTGGAAGAATATCATGCTGTTCATTTTTAGTATGAAATGCTTAAGGCTTTACAGGCTTGTATTTTTAATATTGACTGTTACAAATGTTTGCCTGGTGTTATCTTTGTGAGTGCTGGATCTTTTGAAACCTGCTTTAATTTTTGGAATCACTTAGTTTTTATAGCAGTAAGTCATAGACCTAAGCTGTACATCACCTGGACATATTTAATTTTAGTAGTTTTACATCTGTTGCATTTTGATTAACCTCCATATTTAGAAGGTGAGAAGCTCTCTCACTCACTCTGCTTCTTATCTCCTTTATGTTGTATTATTTGGACATGCTCCATTTTATTCATACTGGTCCTAAGGTGAAAGGGCTTATGTAAATAGGTAAAAATAACTTGATGCTATAACTTGCTTGCATTCTTTGCTTTATTATATTGTATTAAATAAAACTTGACAGTTCATTTTACACAAAATTCCTAGTAAAAAAACTGTGGTGTTCCAGGGTTTTTTTCACCCTATAAGCTCCCCCAAGTTAAATTTTAAATGAGATGTGCCTTTGCAATCAATAAATAAAATACTTGGACCTTTCTCCACATATTAAAAATGTTTCAGCTGAAGTTTCTGCTGATTAATTTTAGTGATTTCTCAAGAAGGAGACAATTTTCTGTTCCCAGTTAAACAAGTCTAAGTAACATGTAAGAGTAAGTGTAGGAATAAATGAGGATCCATGTGGGCACATTATCCTTAATGAGAGATCAAGAAATGTCTTTTGTGTTCTGGTGCATGGATCACGGTGTGCCAAAGAGATATGCAGCCATTTTACAGTATTTTTGGTTAAACATGAAAAAATTCAGTTCTCATTAACACACTGAGATCCGCTAGAATCTTAGTGCTACATTTTGATTTATTTGGCAAGGCTTCAATATAGTTCCTTAAGAGCAGCTTGCCCTGGTATTGGAAAACACCTGTCAGTGATGCAGACTAGCAGCAGTAAGTTCAGTCCTTTCCAGTGACCTTCTCCCATCAGGATATTAAACCTTGTATCCTATCTGTTCCATTGTGTTTTCTTCAGCCCTGCTTTACTGATGCATCTCAGTATGCCAGGCTGCCATTAAAAAAAGCAGTTGAATGCCAGATAGGTATTTCTTTTCAAGTGAGGGGGCATCACTGATCAATCTCAGTCCAAGCTAACTGTAATTTGTGGCATATAGTTTGTAGTTTCAAAGCAATAGATGGACTTTAAATATTTGGTGTCTTCTCTTTAGTAAAAATGTTTATGAGTGTCTATGTCTAGGCAGTGAAGCCCTTCACTACCATTGTGAAGTTACTGTGGGATGTCAGTCAATTTCCCAGGAAGTAAATATGGTTCAGTAGCACACATCTATTCACATGGGTCAAACTCTTGATCTCTAAAAAAATTGGATTGGGCAGTACTTCAACAGTATTTTACAACAGTCCAGTTGTCTTGACCATGGTCTGTTTTGCATCTTTGTTTATTGCAAAGAAATGAAGAGATGCTGCACACAATCATCTGTTCCCCTCCTTCCTCCACAGAGTATAGTCTGAATATTATTTTGCAGTACTGTTTTCTGCTAGAAATATATAAGCAGATGAACAACATTTATTAGGAGCCTCCTAGATCTAGTGTTTTTATGCCCTGACTTTTATGTACCTGATTTTTCCCTATGAAAACTAAACTTACATACATTTGAACTTTCTTCACATCTGTCCTTTCATTCCTTTAGAACATATTGGCCTTTTTTTTTTTCAGAAGTGGAAACATAGAAGAGCAAAAACTGAAAAGTGCTGGATAGGTAGAGGAAACAGATCCGAGTTGGTGATAATACTTTCAACAAGTTAGAGTACTTAACCTTCGTATGTACTGTTTGACAGTAGTCATCTGGTCAGTCTGGATTGCTGGAGACTCTAGACTAGCCAGAGAATTTGCTTTTTTTATGGAGTGATCTCAAAGAGAAAGGAAAGATGGTTGAGTGTATTTGGATGTACAGACTGCTTAGGGCACAAAGGACATGTTCATATGGAGCCAGTCTCTGTTACTTGTGCTGTTCAGAATAGTGTTTTGGCTGTATGCAGCCTAATTGGGAAGAGTCTATTGTTCCCTTTTCTCCAACCTTAGAAATAGTAATAAGGAAAGAAAAATTGTATAGGATGTGGGAAAATGTTTTTTTTTAATTATAGTCAGCTGAAGGATTTTTTGAAGTTTTTTCTTTCAAAACTTCTGTAAGAACTTTCTGAAATTGCAAAGTTGTTTCCTCTGAAAAAAACCAAAAATGTTTGAAATGTGTTCATTTGTAATAGTATAATATTTCTATACTGTATCTGCTGTTCCAACTGGATATTCCTAGAAGGAGCAGAAGGTTTCCTCCTTGGCTGTGTTCAGTTAGTCAATACCAATTACATTTTCAACAGTGTTGTTTCACTTTTTCATTTTTGTTTTTTGAATATTTGTTAATGGTCAAGTACTAAAAGAACTAAGAGACAGTTGGATCTGTGGTTCAGAAATACGTAATATAAAAGAATGAATTTTGTGGCAGACAATCTGCTCAATGTTGGTAAATCTTGGGTGGGGCAGAGCTATCTGTCTGCTGAAAGATAGGTATCTTTGTTCTGTTCTTGACAAAGCATCTAGAAATTTTGTTTTTAAAGAAATGAAAATATAAGAAGGTTCAGCTGCCCCCACAGGGTTTTTTTCTTTAAATACTCAGAAGGTTTTGTGGATTAACTGTCTTTGTATTTGGTTGTATTTAACACCTAAACTGTTTATATGTAAGAAACCACTGTGCTCAGATAGGAACTGAATAGGTATCGTGTTGGCTTTTCTCCAGAAGTCTTTCAAATGTTTTTCTGCACCACTTGCCTGTAAGTGTTATGAAAAGAATCTCCTTGATCAGAAGAAACTGGCAATGTATATATTCCCGTTTAACTTTTAAATGTTTAACAGATCCCAAGCAAAGACAGATTTTCAAATGGGTGAAAATTAATTTACTGAGGCGTTCATAGTGTGTTACCTGTACATCAGTGTGCCCTGGAAAGTCAGTTGATAGGACAAATGTAGATATGCCCAACTGGTCAGCAACAGCGTCTTTCAGTTGTTAGTGTTTGTAACTGTTGTATGTTGACATTGTGTGGTAAATTGCAGAACTCCATGTTTGTGGAGATTGCTCAGGTAAGAAAAGAGGTGTGGATTTTGGTCAGAAATCTTGTGTTAAAAAAAAGATAAAAAAAGGCACTTACCTCTCAAAGCTAGAAAACTTAGATAGAAGCTATTGTTAATCAAAATATATTGTTCATCACGGTAATTAAAAAAACATCAGTGTCTCTTCTGGGCGTCTGTGCATATGTGCTTGTTGCTGTTCAGTGAGCAAGAATTCCAAACCTTGGAAACTTTAACTTTTTCTTATCATCAAATATATGTACATATGTGGAAGGAGGATAAAATTAATAGACCTTTTTTTATGGTGAATAACTTCACAGTTGTTTGTATGTGAGATTTAAAATGGAATTGAGTTACTGCATTTTACAGTTTAATCCCCTTCTCCAAAGTGCTTGTCCAACTGACTGGAAGTTCAGTAGGTTTAAAGACACGCCCCTCTTTTTCAGGTGACTACTGCTACTTTGTTTCATATTTTCATAATAAAATTATTTTTGTTTGGAAAGTGTTGCTATAAAGGAGAAATAAAAACCTCTGCCTCAGCAATAAGTGGTTATAGTCATGGTATAACTTGAGAGAGGGGTGAATTCTTCATGTCCCTTTTTTCTCTCTTTTGCCCCTGAGTAAAGGAATTAAACAATGGGAAAGAAATTGCTTCAAGCTTTTGCATTTTCAAGAAAAGGCGATTACAGTATTTACTCAAATCTAGGATGCTTCTAAATCTAAGGTGACACTATATATTGCATATTGATCTAGAGTGGAAAATTAAAATAGCGTGTATCTTTATCTTAGTAATAGGAAGGTGAGGAAGATTGATGGGGGAAGGACTTGCAGGGAGCCACTGCTGTGATATGTTGTGTGTGACTGCTATTCCATTGCAATTGCCCCAGCAGAGGCTCTAAGGAGGAAATCTGTGCTGACCCTTGGATTTTGAATCTCCAAAAGACTAGTAAAAGTGTGGGTTTGAGTGCAGGAAAATATAATGAAACTTGATGTGAGGAAGAGGTTTTCCAAAATGAATCAGAATGTATTGAGACAACCTTCTTTAAAAATAAGTATAAACAGTAGAACACGATACTTTTCATTGCTGTTATTTTGTTTTCCAAACTCAAATATTACTATGCAAAGAACTTAAACAAAAACCCAACATCCCCCCCTCTACAAAAAGATTAGACAAGGCCCCGTTTTATTCAATGTGATTGCTTATATTTGATTTTGTTGCTCTGTAAATCTCTGGTGTTTAGACAGTGTTAGGTGGATGATTTTTACATCACTTTGTTCTGACTGTTACTAAAGAATGTTAAAGGGAGAGGGGAACAGCAGAGAGTATAGGAAGGAAGGAATCATCTTTTAAAGGTCTTGAGTCCCTAGGTTTTATTTGTTTCTGTTCCCTGCAACACTGTCAGAGGGTTCTCAGATTTATTTTTTTTTAAATATACTTCTTTGATTTCGCATATAGTTTTTGAGGGGTCATTAAAATGGAGTCATTTCCAGCTGAAGTACAAAGTCCTCTTTTTTGGACCTTTAGAATGCATATTCATCTGTCTTCAAATATCTTTAAAATTTCGATTATGCTTTTGATGGCTTTCTTTGACAGGGCTACAATAGAGGAGGCATATTCAAGGTCAATGACAAAACTAGCCAAGTCAGCAAGCAATTACACACAACTTGGGTAAGTAAGTGTACATAAGCGAGAAATAAATAACTGCATACATGTTAAGAATCAAGTTTGATTCTGAATGTTTTATTGATGATGTCGAAGGTAGCATAACTTTGCCACCTTTAAAGATGATTGTTAGCTCTTCAGTAATCATGCAAAATATCATGCAGCTAGGAGAAAAACAAAGACACTACAGTTCTTTATTCACGGTTTAAAAAAAAAACAAAGCCCAAACACGGAGGAACTGTCTGTTGCTCTGTGTTTAAGGTTGGGTTCTCTTCAGACATAATAAAGAACGTGACTTTTTGTTCTCTGCTCCCAAGCCTATGGTAATTATTCTGAAGAAAGAACATATGGTCCACAAATGTGGCAGTAAATTTATTTATTTATTTCTGTTATTTCTGCTTTCTGGAGTATTATTTCTGTCCTCAGAGATGTTAAGAATGAGACTTTTCAATAGATTTATTCCATAGTTTAATGCAAGTTTTATACAAGGGGTATGTTTTTAAAAAATGGAATGATTAATGGATGGTTTTTCATTAGAAAGATTATGCCAGTGAGAACTCAGACTTCTTAGATGAGGCTAGATTTTTTTTTTATTTGTACTAATCACAGCTAGAAATATGGGGAGCTTTTGTCAGTGGATAATTTGATACCAGTTGTTGCTGCTCTTCTAAGGTTCTGTATGTGCATGTTAGTTTAAACATCAGTGCTTTAAAGGCTATGCGTAGTATTGGTTTTTCAGCAGTATTAACCAGGAAACTGAGGTAGGACTGTATCTTTAGAATAGCTGCAGAAGTCCATTCAGTACAGAAATCTCAATCTGAGGAAAGACGCATCCCCCACCTTCCTTTGCCATACAGTTAATCTCTTAATCAGTAAATCCCTTTAAGTGGCAGACCATCTTTGCTAATATTTTTGTCCTGTATCTTGTGGCTGTAATGATGTAAGACAACTAGAAAATTAACTAACCAAGTAATTTTGGATTTGTTTGCACTATTCAAGTATACATGTAAAAATACTTTAACATGTTAAATTATTTTGAGCTGCTCTCGCATCGTCTTTAGGAATACCACTTGGCATTATTGTGTGCTGATGACAGAGCAGATTAAGTGAACTTTGCTGTGTTTTACTCATTAGACTTAATACAGGTAAAACATGGAAAAATTAGTAGATAGCATTCCAAGTACATTTGAAACATATTTTAAGAATTTGTAGCAGTTGTTGGGGTTTTTGTTTGTTTCAGTTTTAGGAACAGAAATGAACTTCTGTAAACTTATCAAATATACTTTAGCAGTATTAAAAAAAAAACCCCACAAACGAAACCATAGCCAACTAAAAGAAGAAAATCCAGATGGACAGTAAATATTATTTTCCTCAATCTAGGACATTTGCACCAGTTTGGGATGTTTTCAAATCCTCAACAGAAAAACTAGCAAGCTGTCACTTGGATCTTGTGCGGAGATTACAAGAGCTAATAAAAGAAGTTCACAAGTATGGAGATGAACAAATCAAAGCTTATAAAAAGGTTATTAATTTTTTTTCTTATGCATGTCCAATGACTTGTTAACATTAAAATAAAAATCGGGGGGTTTTGACAACTTTGTGATATTTGGCAGACTAAAGAAGACGTTTCAGGAACATTGGAAGCAGTGCAAAATATTCAAAGTATCACTCAGGCCTTACAGAAATCAAAGGAAAACTACAATGCAAAGTGTGTTGAACAAGAACGTTTGAAAAAGGAAGGAGCAACACAGAGAGAAGTTGATAAGGTAGTTCTGTGACATCTTACTTTAATTCATTGTGTTGTCAATCAGTAACGTGTTCACCTTGTATTAGTAAGGGAGATGCTCAGAAAGGGCTAAAAGCAGTTAAAAGTAGTAGTTGTGGCTATTTCATAATGTCCATATTTTGAATGCCTAGTTATGTTTTGTTGACACTTACTTCCTTATGTGTTCTAACTGCACTACAGTTCTAATTCTTTATTTTGTAAATACCTGCATCATATGATAGTTTTGTTTAGTGACTTTTACAGAAATTGTGTATAATTGTTTCAGCATATATTATGTTTTTGGATAAATTTCCTTAGGTAAATATGCAAACACTCAATGTCCTTGTTATTGAATTAAGAAGTAGGAGGTTTTGTGTTGTTCCTTCAGTGAGACAAAGTAGCTAATTACACCAGTATTTGAAGTCTGTTCCATTGAGAAGAAAACAAGTTAACCTTGCTTTCAGTGCTAATTTAAAAGGTTCCAATTTCATGGACCAAAACTCCAAGGGATGAGTATCTTGATGTTGTATTTAGTACTGTCCTTGTCTTATGGGGGAGTTTGATCCATTCACAGAATCACAAAATGGTTAGAGGTTGGAAGGGACCTCTGGAGGTCATCCTGTCCAACCTTGCTGCTCAAGCAGGGCCACCTTGAGCCAGCTGCCCAGGACCACATCGAGACCGCTTTTGAACATCTCCAAGGATGGAGATTCCACAACCCCTCTGGGCAACCTGTTCCACTGCTCGGTCACCCTCACAGTAAAAGAAGTGTTTCCTGATGTTCAGAAGGAACCTCCTGTGTTTCTGTTTGTTCCCATTGCCTCTGGTCCTGTCACTGGGCACCACTGGAAAGAGCCTGGCTCTGTCTTCTATGTACCCTCCCTTCAGGTATTTATATACATTGATGAGATCCCCCGTAAGCAATCTCTTCTCCAGGCTGAACAGTTCCAGCTCTCTCAGCCTCTCCTCATGGGAGAGACACTCCAGTCCCTACATCATCTTTGTGGCCCTTGGCTGGACTCTCTCCAGTATGTCCGTGTCTCTCTTGCAATAGACAACCCAGAACTGGACACAGCACTCCAGGTGTGGCCTTACCAGTGCTCAGTAGAGGGGAAGGATCGCCTCCCTCGACCTGCTGGCATCACTGTAACCTTATCCTGTTTTCAGGAAACTAAGTAGTAGAGGAAAGAGGTCATATTTCTTTGTCTCTAACCGTGTCTTCTCTTTTTAAGTCTTGATACCTCTGCCTCTTTCCATTTCAATTACCTGACCTGTGAAGGACTCTGTTCTTGTTAGAATGATCTTAGTACCTTTTATACTGCTATCTTGATGTAGCAGATAGAATTGGTTATTGTCTTTCACTGATGACAAAAGTGATCCTGTTGACCATGTTCTGATTGTTTTATCTTTGATATAAATCTAGTTTTGTTTCCTAGCTTCTGTCTCAAATGACAATGTTGGATTCTAGACATGAATCAGAAATAGGTGGGTTGGCAGATGTTTTCCTTCCTGTCTGTTCAAAGTATAGTTTTTCTGAATTCTTGTAAATAGATTGAAACCTCTCAGTAGGAAAAATTGACTTGATGGAAAGGCTTGTTTTTAAGATGTAACGTTATCCATGTTCAGCTGGAAACAAAAAAATGTTCAGTCTAACTGATACCTACATGAGAAGGGAGAAAGAAGAAGCACTTTAGGATGAAGGCCACTTTTTTACTGTTGTATGCATCTTCCCTAGATACTTCTGTTTGAACAATTAGGCCATAGTCGAATGCTCTGCGAGTACTTAAAAAATGTTTCCAGTGGGAGCAGGTAAAAGTGATCGTTACATCTCTTCAGTCATGTCTTTATTCAAGTTTATACTTGTAATTTCAGAAACATGGTGGCAAAGATTGTATTAATTTATTTTTCCTTTGGCAGAGAATAGGTTTATTACTTTTAGCACAACATAAAAAATGTTTTCTATCAAAACTGCAGAATAACTATTTTATCGAAAGCAGGGGATCTGCACCAATATGCTAAGAGCTTATCACAAAGCCAGATACTTGGAGAAATACCTTATTGAAGAATCTGAGAAGGTGTTTGAGACCTTGCAATTTTCATTGCAGCTGAAAGTTAGTGTTAACTTGTGTAATAATTTCCTGTTGTTCTTTGACATGTGAACTTCTCTATTTATAGTGACTTGACAAAAAATTCTTGACTGATCCTTATTCTTTCACTTACTGTAAATCTGCTAGAGTTCTAGCAATTGCTGCACATGAGAATAGACACATCTTGTTTTCAGAAGAGATTACTAGTTAATCATACAATGTTCATGTGCTTTATCATTTTGTCTGTCCTGCTGAGTAGTTGTTTTATGTAGATGCTCTTCAGCACATAACACTCAGATTCTGCTCATCATTAAACATGATTACAAGAGACAGAATGTTTTGGTTTTGTCAAAATCCCATGCATATGGGGTTCAATTACATAATGCTTTACAAAAAAACTTATTTTTGAAGCCTTTAACTTGGCATTTCCTTCCTTTTCAACAGTTAAGTTTGAAATCATCTTATTGCAAAGCCGTCTTAATTATTTTTAAAAGCAAGTGTTCATAGAGCACCTTGTGCTTTCAGCATAGTAAATGGCATTTGGGAAACAAGATAAGACTATTTTCTTCTTGGCAATTCACCTGTGTGAATATGCAAGAGTGAGAATCATGAAGTAAAATTCAGGACAAGTAACTGATAGGTTTGATCCAACCAGTCATGTTCTCCTTTTAATGCCTGAAGGATTCATATTCTTCATACAGTGAAGTATTTTCAGGCTCTGTTATGCTGGGTTTAGGAGACTACGTAACAAAGATCTACTTAAGCTTTCTTTGTAACTGGAAAAATGGAACTGTAGCTTTGGTTCCTCTTCCTTTGAAGTCATGGTTGATGTTTCCCCAGGTGAACAAGTGCTAATGCTATAGTGTTACTCATGATTTTCAATTATTTCTCTCTCTGAAATTGCAGAATATAACTCTCTCTTTCCAGAGGGCATCTTTGTGTTAATTAATATGAAGTTATAGATAATGGTCAGCTTCACAATTCATTGCATGTGAGACAGATGAAATTAATTTAAAAGAGGGGAGGACTAGAACAAATAGTAAATACACAGCTGTCTTTAGTGGTGTCATTAACAATTCAGGAATACTTTTGAGTTACAGCTGATGGGAAATTTCAATGAGGGAAAGTAGGCATGTTGAACAAAGCAGCTAGAAAAAAAGCTGGTGTTCAAGATTATTTTTATTTTCATTGGCTTTTAACTTGGAAATAGCAAGGATATCAAAGGTTTGAAAAACTCCCATCTCGTGTGTGTCATGCTGTAAACTTTGAAAATAACTTTTTCTCTACCAGAATCACTTCATTCAGTTTTGTTCTCCATGTAATATTGGGATTCTCCTGGTTTTGTTTTTTTTTTTTCTTTTAAGAGTATTAAACTCCCAGAAATATGATTCAGGTTTATTAGCAACAAATAATGAAAAAAGAATCAATAAATTATAAAGCCAAAAAGGACTATTATGAACAACACTCAGCTGCATAAATCTAGCCATCACTATATTCTGCATTATGTTTACTTTCAATTATATCTCTTAATCTTAAAATTTCCTTTGGTGTAACGCCTGTACTTTTGAATTTCTTAATTTCTGACAGAGAACTGCACCTTCTTGTTTTTTTTGACTGTTGACTCTTTCAGAATTGCACAAATAACGGTTTGCTCTGTGTTCCAACCCTTCCTTCCTGTTCTTCTGTTCCCGATCTAAATATTTGACAAGAGCTAATTAATTAACTTTAGCAATACAAATTTTATTTCAAAATAAGTATATTATAAATTTGTAATTGCTAATAAGGGGAAGAGATTTAAATGAGGTAATTGCTTTGTTACCTTTTTATGTAGTTTATATATAGCTTTAGACAGAAATCTCTAATGGCTTGAAAGTGAGTTATTTGGTGGTGGTGAAATTTTGTAATGATACTTCAGTGTTTTTATATGCCCCTGAATATTTTTTATAGGTCATCCTAGGCTTTCTTTTAATAGTGACTTGAAAAACCTTGGATCAGATTGTACGTGTGACATTTGACACTTCTTTGTACTGATCTACAGGCAGCAGTTAAATCAAAAAAAGCTACAGATACCTATAAACTATATGTGGAGAAATATGCTGCATTTAAATCTGATTTTGAACAGAAAATGACAGAAACTGCACAGGTAAGTGTTATATTAAATGAGTTACCTTTAGAATAGATTATTATATGCTATTTCATCTCTGAAGACATCTGAAATCAAAGGGTTTGAAAAACTGGTTCAATAGAATGATCTACTTTGGAAATTGATATGAGCAATAATGTCAGAAGTAATATGTTTGAAGGGCAAACATTGACCATGTATGTTGTGATGGCACTGTCCTTGAATGACACAGTTTAGCACTAGCACTCTAGAAAGACTTTTTGAAGAAATTTTTAGGAAGAAAACAAAATGAACTTCCAAAGGTCTTGTAGATGCATTTTGATCATGTGGGAAGCCTCGTGGACTGCTGTACACCCAGAACTCATTCATAGGAGTTTTAATGTTGGGCTCCATCATGGTTTTTTCATTATCATTCCAGCAAAACAGTTTAGTTACAGGTTTTTAAAGTGTCTTTCTAGGGTTTACCTGAGGTTGTGAAAAGCCTTTAAATCTGTTCAAGTTTCTGGTTTTTTTTAAAGACTTTTAATCTGTACTCCAGAGGATATCAAGTTCTCTGTATATGCTGCTTCTTATTACGTTTTAAAGTTTCTTTTTCAAATCTGTTGATAGCAGACTTTTTCCATGGCCCCAGATTTCGGAAAGCAAACTTCCTAATTTCTGCTTTTAGTAGTAATAGTTAGTTGAGGGCTGGTTGGCATATTTATTTGTATACATTTCTTGGCTTAGTAAAGCTTTTACAAGATAGGAATTTTTTTCTGGTTGAAAATTCTTTGCTTTTTTCATTAGTTTCAAAGCTTAATTTTTAGGCATAAATGGAATTATTAGGGAGGTTCAGTCATACTTATATTTTTAACATACAAGTCTTAGGGTTTTCCTTAACTCCTTGGAAATTAAGATTTCACAGCATGAGGATTGTGTAGGCTGACTTGTAAAAAGCTCCCCTGTCCTAGACTATAAACTGCTTTCCTACTTTGAGAACTTCATTAGAATTTGATCTACTTCATCTCTAAATAGATACTGAACACAGCTGTAAGAGAAAGGATACCACATACATCACATACCAGAAGTCTTCCCTCCCACCCCACAGTCCAGGCATTTGCAACAAAGAAGTGCTCAGGCATGCTACTGCAAAATTCTGCTTTTAACATGACTGTTACATTAGGAGTCTTGACAACCTTCCCTTGAAGAGTTTGCAGAAGGCATCTTTTTGTGTAGTATCCTGAGTCAGTTCTGGCTGAAGGAGCTCTACTCCCTATGCTTTTCTTTTCAGTTTGAGTTAAATTTGGTTATGTACATTATTTTCCTCTCCTTTAAAAAAAATCTGTGACTTCTAAATGCTTTTTCTATTATTATTGTGGAGTATAAAACAGTGATGATTGCAGTTACTCAGTGGTATAAAAAGGCTTTATTAAAAATAAAAGTTTAACAAGAAAATTCATGGGTACCATGGTCTAGGCCATATCACCTCTGATCTGTGGAGCTGTGTTTTCACTACATGTTTTAAGTTAGCATTGCTGTCAAAAGTAGCAGTTGTCCTATTTCCATGCTTCTTCCTTTGTCGAGTGTTTGTGTGAGGAGCTACCTTGTAGAACTAATCCAGCTAAAACTAATATGTGAAGGAAGGTTGGCTTAACCCAGAAGAGACCTGCAGTCTGATTTATTAAGAGATCACACAAGCATTTCTGCTGCCACAAAGGCAGAGGCAATGTGGTACCAAGGGTAGAGAATTGCATCTTTAAGCTGGTTTAACATGTGACACTGACCTGGACTCACTTGCATATGTGTCCACCTTACACATTTACGTCTGTTGCCTTAGTATTGTGTGTCTGTCACTGTACCTTAAAATATTTGCATATCAGTTATCCCTAGGCAATTTGACTGGCAATAGGATTGGAATTGGCATGTGTGATTACAAGCCCTTGAGAATTTGGAGACTTGGCAACCTTTTTAAACTTAACTAATATGTATCTTGAAACAATTCTTGGAAACAAGTGAAATATAATAGCAACAAAAGAATCATTGAAGTGTAACATTCCTCCTGGAGAGTTTCCAGAAATAAAAGTAGGTGGAATCAAACTGACATGTGAACACATACTGCTACTACCCAAAATGGTAACTTTTTTGTGGTGTTCCTGTTACTGTAATTATTTTATTTGCTCAGTAAGCATTCCAGTAACTCCATCATTGTGTGGTTTGTATAAATTGTAGTGCAGCCTGACTTTTGCTGTAGGCCACACCTTTTGCTAGAAAGAAATCAAATAATACCAGAAAAAATACTGAACTGTTTCATTTATTTGTCTCAAGTCATATACAAGTGTGGCTTTTCTGGATCAAGAAGTTCCTGCCCTGTTTGTTATTTACCTTGCTCTGGAAGTTACTGAACCCCACTGAAACAGATCCTGTGAATGCTTCTGATCCACTGCAGAGCAAGTTCAATCAGGTTGCTTTAAATCTTTACTTAGTCCCACAAAAGCTGTCTGCTGTCTATTCCTTACCATACAAGAAAGAGGCTGTGTTTATACAGTTGACTTACTGCTTTCTGAAACAACAAGAAAAAATTTAACAAATATGACTTCAATAAGCTGGCCTTGCTAAATTGCACTGTAAACTCGTCCCCAGTGAGGAAGAAAGCTGTCAGTAATGAACAGGAGTTTTTTTAGAACTGACAGAAGATGAACATGAAGAGTATTTGAAATGGATTTCATTGTCAGTGAATTAGTGAAGGAAAATGTAGGGGCTTTCAGCAAGCAAACTAGCTGGGCTTTTCATCATGTACTAAAAAAAAATCCATTTAAATAATCCACTACAACAAAAGAATGAGAAAAATAAAAGCTTATTTTGTATACAGAGACAGAATATGAAGGTGCTCTTTGTTCAGCTTTCATATTTGTGTTATTAGGTGGGTATTACCTATTTAAACCAGGCTGCAACATAGAGAGGGGGAAAAAAGTCTTTTTCTATATCAGCTGTTACAGCTGGGAAAACCTCACCATGTTTTTGGGCTATTTTGATTTGGCAGGGGCAGGGGGGTGGAGCAGAGGATGACAGGACAGGTGCAGTTAGGATCTTTTGGGGTTGGGTTGGGCTTTTTTCTCAATAAAAAAATGGTACAAAGTCACCTCGCGCTACAAACCATACTTGTCTAAATGTCCTTAGTTCCTTAACTGCAACAACCGTTTTACATAAAATTTAAATTTTCACTTAATGTGATAATGGACACCTGGAAACTTTCCACAGCTGTCCCCATTGGAAATTAAAATTGCCATTCTGCCAGTGTAAGTCTTATCTGTGGAATTTGTTTTAAGTATAATGGCATAGTTGCATCTACAGTTTGGTTGCAGGAGGTCTACTTTAAAGATGATGTGATAGGAAAAACAGCAACACCCATGAATAAGTGGAAGCCGACTTGTATATGAAGAACACCCTAGATCATCTTAATTTAGAGTATATTTCACTTGAAATATACTAGTTCTGAAAATGAAATCAAAGAGGAGTTGTTAGCATTGTCAGCTGTTTCAGTGCAAAATCAGTTGGCTTAGCTTAAATCTGTTTTATACTGTTCACATACTATTTTTCTGAGGACAAACATCTTGAATTGCTGTGGCATTATTCTAGGTAATCATGTAGTAATGTCCTCACTTAGCTGTCCCCTTTTCTTAGTTAAGCTCCACCAATCTTGTTGCATAAATTTTATGTATTTTTCCTCTTGTCATTTACTCTCTAACCTGCAGTTATCAAAGTGAAATGGCTTGTGATACGTGATTTTGAGAGGTTGAATTTTGAAACATATGATCTTCCTAATCTTGAATTGCAAATTATGGGTTTTGTTGCGATAAACATGGAAGGTTTTATTGTGATTAAAGAAACAGGAAAATATAGTTCACTGTTGTTTAGAAATCGGATATGACAGAAATTCCTCATGTTGAAAGATTTTTCTGAGTGAAGCTATAGTTGTATTATGCAATTGCTATGCAGTTGCTAAGAAAACATGATGTCTTATTTGCTGGATTTTCCACCTTGCTAGAAGCTTCTTTTAAAATCACATAGCACAGTCAAACATTGGAAGGGATCTAATAGCTGAAAGTGCTAAATTATTCTTTAGAAGTCCTTCTGTCTTATCTAAAACTGAGTAGAGTTGACTTTGGATGATTTTGCTGTTGAGCAGTCTGCATACAAATAAAGTTCAAGAATGAGTAATAATTCATTTTTTAAAAACATTGTAAAACTTACAAGAAAACATACATGTTTATAAAAAGGAGCAATGCTTAGTTAAACTGTGTATACTAAGTTGGACAGCTAAATATCCTGTCAACAATTTTTCATTTGTATTGTAGCTTAAAACACTGAGTAGTGGCTTGCATTTGTTGGGTCATTAACATTACAGATTCATTTCAATGCATCTTTTTAAGGTGGACTGATCTTTCAAAAGTGAAAGTAAACAATTCAGTTAATGATTATACCGGTGATATGAATGATGTGGTTGTATTATAGGACTGTTGTGGTTTAACTACAGCCAGCAACTAAGCACCACACAGCCACTTGCTCACTCCTGCCCCAATGAGGTGAGGGAAAGAATCAGAAGGGTAAAAGTGAGAAAACTGGTGGGTTGAGATAAAGACAGTTTAATAGGTAAAGCAAAAGCTGCGCACACAAGCGAAGCAAAACAAGGAATTCATTCACTACTTCCCATCGACAGGCAGGTGTTCAGCCATCTCCAGGAAAGCAGGGCTCCATCACCTGTAACAGTAACTTGGGAAGACAAATGCCATCACTCCAAACGTTCCCCCCATTGTTCTCCTTCCCCCAGCTGTATATGCTGAGCATGACGTCATATGGTCTGGGATATCCCTGTTGTCAGCTGGGGTCAGCTGTCCCGGCTGTGTCTCCTCCCAACTTCTTGTGCTCCCCCAGCCTGCTCACTGGTGGGGTGGGGTGAGAAGCAGAAGAGGCCTTGACGCTGGGTAAGCGCTGCTCAGCAATAACTGAAACAACCCTGAATTATCAACGCTGTTTTCAGCAAAAATCCGAAACTTAGCCCCATGCTAGCTGTTATGAAGAAAATTAACTCTATCCCAGCCAAAACCAGCACAAGTACCTAGCTTTATTCTTTGATCAGATCCTCTTTGTATTATGTACTGTACAAGGCCAAGATGGCTCTACTTCAAAGGCTTTAAATCTTAAGTATAAAACAATAAACAAGAAATAAGGAAACAACTGGGGGAGGGGAGTGCTTTCAACTGACATAAGAGGCAAAAAAAAAATCTCTGAACGGTCAACTTTTTTGATATGCATTATAGAGAAGAGTTTAAAGGAGACTGGTACCTCTGTTTTGCAGAGTTTTATGGGGAGCTCAAACCAAACATGAAGGAAGCATCATTGGCATAACCTCAAAAGTTGGCTGTGTGTTTAGGTTAAAATTAGGTAGTGGAAACAGGCACACATTGGAAAGATGCGTTGTGAACATGTGTTGATAACCTGATAGTGACTGAGAGCAGATACTATAGAGATGGACCGTAGATAGTTTTGAAAGGCTACAGAGGATGACCATATCCTCTGTAATTAAGAGGAAGGCTGTTGGAGAAGAAAAAAGTTATTCTGCTTGATTGATGGCTAGAGAGATATATAAGTATGGTAAAAGAAAGATTGAGAGCTTAGAAGTCAGAGATACTTGACTTGTTACTATGGAGTTCTGTTTGTGAATCAGAGTACCAGGAGGTGTGAAATGTGGAGAGATGGTCTTCAGAGAATCCTGTACAAATTGGAGAGAGGATTAAGTGGTGCTCCAAAGTTGGACGCACATGAAAGGGCAGTCACAGAAATAGGAAGAGAACTAAGAAAGAGCAGAAGTAAACAAAGATTTCAAGACAATTATGGTTGACTGTTGCAGAGAATGAGGCCGTTTTTAGTTCTGATCTTTGGCTAGGAATGGGTAATTGAAAACATTGGAAGTGATTTTAAAATGGCTGTCAGCTGGAAGTCTGGGTAAAATGGAACAAACTGCAAAGATATATACAGTGAGTTTAAAGATCAAACAAATGAATCATATTTAAAGAAGAAAAGGATATAGATTTAACTAGAAAAAGAGAAAGCATGTGTATATTGTGAGCAGGAGGAGAGGGTGCTAAGAAGGAAAAGCAAAATGGATCCAGAAATAAGATTTCTGGGTTTAGATGAAAAAAAGACTCTTAAGTAATGGAGAAAAGACTTTTTTAAAAACACTCTCTAACCCCATTTTCTTTTGGTAGAAATAGGTCAGATTTTTTTGAAAAATCAAGATAGATGAAAGTTTAAAGAGAAAGTAAAAAACCTGGGTAATGGTTCTTAAAGGATATATTCTATTTTAAATAGTACATTTTCTAAATAAAGTACATTATTTCATAACTGTGAATTCTGTACCTCCCTTTCTTAAACATTGTAATTACCATGATCAAGATCTGGGAAAACAAACAAACAAACAAACAAAAAAACCACAACAAACAAACACGGGGTGGTGGGGGGCTGATGTCCACTTAGTGTACTTAATTATTAAAATTTAAGGTTTAGTATTTCAAGAAAAGTTTTCATTATGATTAATTGCTTGTATTCGTTTACAGAAATTTCAGGACATTGAAGAAACACACCTTCTTCGTATGAAAGAGATTATAGAATCATTGTCAAATACCATAAAAGAAATTCATTTACAAATAGGAGAGGTAATTTTTATATTATCATTTGTTTGATTGGATTATGCTATGTATTTTTCTTAAGTATTAAATGGAACATTTCTTACTGTGTTTGTGGTAATTACAAGATTACATCTTTCAAATGATGGTAAATTCAACATAAGCTCAAAGTTTTATGGCTTCCTGTTGCATTTATAAGTTTAGTATCGTAAAATTTACAGAAAAATTTTGTCTTAACAAAACAAAACATTTTGACAATTTGAAGACTTTTTAGTTTATTTCAAGGTTCTGTTCCCTAGATATGAAATTAGCACTCATTTCACACATAATCGGGATACTTGTGCTTTTCTTTGACTAAAACTTGAAATTATATCACTCTGAAAAGTTTCCAAATTTTTTATACACTTTGGGTTTTATGAGCAAAAGATCTTCAGTAACAGAAGCTATTATAGTATCTTTTCTTTAGGTGTAAGTTGGTTTAATTAATAATCCTTACAAGTAGTCCTTAATTTTTAGATGGTTTAAAGTGTAGTTTTATTTGTGTACACTATTTTCCTCAGTTTTGAGGTTTTCTGCTAATGAACGATGGTCACAAGGGTCATGCTCTTTATTTCTAAAACATATACATACTGCCTTGTTGGAAAAAATTCTTATTAACAACATGTGGTTGTTCCTTTTTCAGACCAAGAGCATTACAACAGTAATGCTTTCGCTCAAGCAGGTGGGAGCTGTGATAATACAATAATAACAGGTCACACCCTTAACTGGTGCTGGCTTAAGAGACTGCTTGTCTTCCTGATATTGTAGTGGGACATGTTGCTGACAAATTCAGAAAATGATATATACACAAGTTATTTAGATGGAAGAAATGGAAGTCAATCCTAGACCCGTCATCAAGCTGTATTCTTTCATTCCTATTTTCTATCTGTATTGTACATACACTTGCTAATACTAAAGCAAAGAAAGGATTTCCTGGATAAAATGCCTGTTGATTTCTGGAAGCCCTGTAATATATTTTAGAGGGAAGGATTTTGAACCTTAACTACAGAAAACCACTTTTTAAAGTTCATTACATTCTTTCAATTACTAGTTTTTAAATTCCTTTTGTGTGTGGTGTGGTTTTTTTTGAAGGTGCACGAAGAGTTTATTAATAACATGACAAATACTACAGTTGAGAGTTTAATACAGAAATTTGCTGAGTCAAAAGGAACTGGCAAGGAAAGACCTGGTAAGAGATTAAAAATAACAGAGCAGGAAATGCTAATTTTAAAACTGTAGATTTCCACTCATAATAAAAGGTCAAACCCCTATTTGTTAATGTGTTATATTTTTAATGTACTTACAATTTCAAATTCTCAGAATTCATTCCCTTTGATATTAAATTTTTCATAGGGATAGATACACAATTTATTATGTATGTGTAGTATTTGTGCTCATAAAGCATGGCAATTAGTCCCTCTATGTAGACCTTCAAGGAAGCTTTAAAACTATACTGTTGCTTGGTACGTCAGTGAAATTTGTCAAGAAACTGAAGTTCCTTGCACAATGTGTTGTCTACTATGTGTTTCTGCATAAATTATATTTCAGAACTTTTATATGAATTTATGGGTATATTCAGAACAGTCTATAAAGCTGCTTATTGAACTATTGGAACAGTTGCATCAGTTTATTTGGTTAGCTTGCAAAATTATCCATTTTAATAGTTTATATGTAGATTGTTTCTTTACTAAGCAGCAAACTGAGTAGTACTTTCTGAAAGTACTGCTTGTTGGGTATGATGTATAAGACTTCCCTGGACTGGCATAAAAAGACAATCTCACAGTACTGTGTATCTAGCGTTATAGGAAAAATAAAGACTTCACTTTAATGTTTGAGCATGAATTCAGTCACTAGGTGTGTGAATACAGGAATTCAGTAGTACTGTTTTCTATTTTCTTCAGCTCTGGGAGTCCTGACTAGCATCTTTGTCTTCTAGTATAGAAGCACAAAGGTTTTTTTCAGAGCAAGGATGTATATAACAGAGAAGATCTTGAGAATGTATATGAAGTTGTTAAATATGATTACTAGGTATCTTAAAATGCCTCTGTGAGGTGTCTTTAACATAACATTGTTTCATATTCTTTCTGTGATCCACTAAACCTGATATCCAAGTGGGCTGAGTGAGATTGTATATGGAAAAATTTTCCTTTGTATTTTGCAATTTTTCAGTAAAAATTAAGACAGAAAAAGTATGAACTTCAGGGGTTCAAGTTCAGTTGGTCTGAAATCAGGACAAAGACGTGAAAATTCAGTGTTCGGACCTCTTTGACTAGCTATTGCCAAGATGTCGTGGCTAGGGATCTCCATCTTGCATTTAGGATTCTGTCTCACTGGGTTATAAAGACTCTTGCTAATGTATCCTAGAGCACTCTGCACTTCAAGTCATCCATGTTATTAGTATGGGGTTTTGCTAGACAACATAGTAATCGTAAGAAAAGTAACACTTCACTTTTTAATTTAGTGGGGAAAGGTATATACACTGTCTACTTACTTGCTGCTTTATGGCATTCTTCAAATCCTATTTGTATTCTTTGGGGCCAAATAAAAGCTTTTGCCATAGCAAATTTCATTTCTTCAACTCTTTTAATAGCAAAGTATTCTAAGGAAAGAGAGCATGTTTAGTGTGGAAATGTATGTGCCTTGACTTTTCTTTTACAGTGTTAAATTATTGTATTGCTATAAGCTTTGTAAAGCAGTCATGGTGCAGAGAGAGAGCACAGGCAAATTCAGCAGTAAAAGAATACAAATTCACAAGAAGTTGTGAAGTGTCAAAAACTAGAAACACAGACCGCTAGTGATGTTAGTTATGATTACTTCTTCTATTATATTCGTTTTATTAACTTAGAATCATACAGCATTGACAATTACAAAGATTTGGAAGGCAAAGTGAGTTATCAGCCTTCTAAGAATGAAATGGGAACATCCAGTGTGGTAAGGACTGCTTTTTCTTGATTAAAAAAGTACTTTTCTGCATTTGAGAACTGTTCTTGACAGAAAGGTGTTTTAACTCACGGAGCAAATGTTGGAAGTCTTTCTCTGTGTGATGTATTTATTAGTTAAGCTGGAGAAGGAGATGGCTCCTCAGATAAATCTATAAAAATGATACTGACTTGGCGTACAAAGCAAATGTAGAAAAAAAATGTCTTATGGATGTCACTGTTGCTTAACATTCCAGTCCTAAATCTGTTTGAAGGAAATAAATTAAAATTCCCCATGCCTATGCAGGCCTTCTCCCTTCCATATTATTTTTGGGCTAATATACTAAGTTAGATGGTGGGCCACTTTCTGAAATACTGAATTTGGAGAACAAAATAAACTAAAAAGGTAATACGTAACAAGGTATTTTACTTTATTTCAGTATATTCTAGCTATAGTTATAGCTCTTCATAGCAGAGTTCACTTGCTTTTACTTGTATCTGTAAAAATAAGAATGAATCTGAAATGAAGTGCTGAAGAGGGATGTTGCATTGAGTAGACTATTAGCAATTTACAGTAGAATTTTCTAGATATAGGCAATTATTTTCTTAAACTTATCTGCCTATCTGAAATTTCTCTTTGTACAGTGATGTCCTTTGTACCAGATTATATGGGCTCCCTCTGGTGGCTAATTTCTGTCACCTGAAGTCATTATGTACAGGGGCTTCTAGGGATTAACACTGTTTTTCTAGTACAAATGCCGTTTCTTTCAAGCAAATACCTCTTTGCGAGTTTTTTTAACTTCACTTGTGGACTTCTTTACAATAGCTCTTTTTTAACTGCTACCTATATAAATTATTTAGTCAGCTTTATCACCTACTTCTTACTGAATTTACTTTAAATATTTTTTTAAATTTCAGTTTAGTTTTTAGTTTACAATTTTTAGTAATACAGTATTTGAAGAAGTTGTATTCAGCATTTGTTTTCCTTACTTCTGTTCAATGTAAAAAAAATAGCCATATACATCCAGTTGCAGATCTTTATTTTAAAATGAAAAAAACATCACTTATTGTAAAATATTGAAAAACAGAAGGAGAGCTGTCAGGACCTGTAATAAATAGTAAGGCTTCAGATCAGAATTTAATGTGCTCTCTGAACAGTTTCTAATATTCAGAGGAACCTGGGCAAGCTCAAGAAATGGGCCCATGTGAACCTCATGAGGTTCAACAAGGCCAAGTGCAAGCTCCTGGACCTGGGGAGGACCACTGCATCCCCCAGTTATCAATACAGGCTGGGGGATGAAGGGATTGAGAGCAGCCCTGCAGAGAAGGACTTGGGGTTCTGGTGGATGAAAAGCTGGACGTGAGCCAGCAATGTGTGTTCACAGCCCAGAAAGCCAACCGTACCCTGGGCTGCATCAAAAGAAGCGTGGCCAGCAGGTCAATGGAGGTGATTCTGCCCCTCTACTCCGCTCTGGTGAGACCCCACCTGGAGTACTGCGTCCAGCTCTGGGACCTCCAGTACAACAAGGACATGGACCTGTTGGAGCGGGTCCAGAGGAGGGCCACAAAAATGATCAGAGGGATGGAACACCTCTCCTGTGAGGAAAGACTGAGAGAGTTGGGGTTGTTTAGCCTAGAAAAGTGGAGGCTCTGGGGAGACCTTACTGCAGCTGTTCAATACTAAAGTAGGGCTCATAAGAAAGATGGAGACAAGAAAGTAGGGCCTGTAGTGATAGGACAAGGGGTAAAGGTTTTAAACTAAAAGAGGGTAGATTCAGACTAGATATAAGGAAGAAATGTTTTGTGATGAGGGTGGTGGAACACTAGAACAGGTTGCCCAGAGAGGTGGTAGATGATCTAGAAACACTCAAGATCAGGTTGGATGGACTCTGAGCAACCTGACCTAGTTGAAGATGTCCCCGCTTATTGCAGGGGGGTTGGACTAGATGACCTTTAGAGGTTCCTTCCAACCCAAACTATTCTATGATTCTGTAGTATTTTCCTGCTGTTAGGTCTAATAGCAGTTATGATACTGTCGTTTGGAAGATGCTTTTGTCACTCACATGGTCCTGCAGTGTTCATCAAAACTTCTTGGTCACTTCTCATGAATCAATTTTCTGTTTGTGATAGGCTGTTGCTCCATGTGCCTTAGAAAATTCATTTATTGCATGGCAGAAGATGTCTGTTTTTCTTCCACCCAAAGTATGCGTTAAATAAATACTGGAGATGATGTCTATCCCAGATTAATGACATATTGATGAGTTCTATCTTTATTTACCTAATCTTCTAATAATTGATTAAAAAATTGGTTTGTTACAGTATGAAAAGGTGATGCTGTGTGAAATAGAAACTGCTAGAAAGTACAAGCTCATTTTCTTCCTAGATCTTATGTCTGAAATTGGCAGGATAGTACCTAATGTGTTTGAAGAGGTTAGTGAATGCCTATATAGCTGTAGTTGGTCATGAATGATTTTTAATTTTTAGCTACTGGATTTCTATGCCCTCTTCTCATGGGGGAAGATGATCTAGTTCTATGTGGGGAACTAACTGTGTGTTCATCCCTGTGTTAGTTTTTGCCCACTACACAGTTTACCCGGAAGGTACCTTGAAGGCCAAATGCGAAGACTCAGCTGTGCTGCATTGTCCCAAAAACCAGGAACAAAAGCCGAATCTAGATGATTTTTGCATTTTTTCTTAAAAATTGAATAAAGAGGTGATCAAAATTTTTATTGTAATACAGACAAAAGCTGGAAAGCCATACTCTTTGCTGACTCCTTAGCCCTACAATAAAACAGTGATCTGCAGATGGCAAGTACTACATATGCTGTGCCATTATTCAGTGTGAGAGAGGTGCTGGGTCATCTTTTAACTATAATTTTTAAAAAAATTGTTGGTTTTGTGCTAGTTTGATCCATCTTTCACAGTCTGAATAAGCTAGAATGTGACTTGCAACTGCAACATACAAGTAGGCAGAGAAGATCTGGCAAAGAGGAATAGTCACATGCAGGTTGTCTTCTAAGTGTACCAGTAAAAGCATTAGAATTTGGGCTATGGAAAACACAAGTCCATAAAAATACTTCTTGTCTCCTTTCATTATCCACACAATAAATTTGAACTTTATGGAGGAGCTAGAAGAAGTTTGCTTTTTTTAAACAGTGTAAAATTAGCGCCTGCAATCCATCAGCTCTTTGGAATAAATGATAACAAAAGGACTTTCCAATGTTGATTATGCACATTGCTGTTGATCAGCCATAATTGGCTCTTGCATATA